TATATCTGTAGCTCGCTGTATTGAAGAAAGAGTCGCCATGGTGCAACTTTTTTCAAAGTTTGAAAATGTGCACGAATTCGATACGACTTCGGCGCATAAAACCACAATTTTGTTAGTAAATCGGAAATTTGATGAAAATGGATCAATGGAAGATTTACCACGTGGAGGCTGCTCATAGATTGTACTTTCTGAAGAGAGGCTAGAAGAGATTGAAAAAGTGGACTTAATAACCCACGGCTATCTATTCGTCAAGATGCTGCTCAAACTGATATAATCGAAAGCATGTATTAGTAGCTATGAAATAACTTCACTGTAAACCATATCGTCCAACTTTGATAGTTAGCCTTATGGAAGATGATTTCGATCGTCGCAGCGAATTCTGTGAAATATGGCTCGAAAAATTCAAGAATAAACTGGATTCAGTTGATCGTATATTCTGAAGCGATGAAACCAAACTCAGTATGAATACAACAATTAACGGATGCAACTGCACGTATTTGGCCAAGGAAAATTCCCATTCAACATTTGAGATACCACATACCCAGGTAGAAGTTATGATATGGTGTAGAATGACTTCCAATGGAATTGTTGGACTTTTTTCTTCGACGATACTGTTACGTGTTCATGGTATAAAGAAGTAGTAGCTGAGTACGCATGGCCTCAATTGAAATGCAAGAGATTTCACTTTCAACATGATGGAGCAGACGCTCATTATTCTGTTACTGTTCGAGAGCGCTTGATGAGAAACTTCTATGTCGGTCAGAGATGTCCATCGCGGCGCGACCGCTGCCGCTGTGGCGGTGGCGGCGCGGTAGCGGTTGTTTTCATAAATAACCATCGCAGTGCGGCGCGGCAGCGGTCGTTTTTTTAACTAACTATCGCGGCAGCGGCGCGGTAGCGGTAGATTTTTTTTGGAGAACAATGCACAAATGCATGAATTCGATCAGAATTTCCATGTTTGCAAGTGCAAAACTATGAGATTCAACGAATCTTATCAATTGGTAACAACAGCTCAAGTCCTGAACAGTCACAGATCGTAAAAATTCTCAACATTATTCTAATAATAATCGCGGCAGCGGCGCGGTCGCGGCAGGTTTTCTGTTTTTATCACTGCGGTGCGGTAGCGGCGCGTTAGCTTTTTTCTTTTATCGTCGCGGCGCGGCAGCGGTCAGTTTTCAACCGCGATGGCCATCTCTGATGTCGGTGGATTAGTAAATCTGGTTTATTTGCCTGACCAGCACATTTACCAGATTGAACACCATGCAATTTCTCTCTTTCGGGATATTTTAAAGACATTGTATTTCAAAAATCGTCTACTACAATTATGGAACTTGAAGAAAGAATTGAAAAAGTTTGCAAGCAAGTAGCAGAAGATATCTGCCGTAAAGTATGTCACTCTATTGTGCAAAATTTTCGTGATTGCTTAGCCAACGAGGGTCGATTTCTTGTATACTGATGTTGTTGCATTATACATCATCTATGCTGCTGAATAAATCAATACAAGAATGTCCTACAGTTTTGGTCTATAGCAATGAGTAAAAAACTTTCGTGCATTATTTAGTAAAATAGTGAATGGAAGTGTGCTAGTTTTATGTGCATGAATATACTATTCATTGGTGAATAAAAACTAGAAACTGTCTTCTACTGTGAAAAAAAACAGCTCATTCAATTGAAGCTTACACTGAAAAAAACAAGCGTAGAATGATACACCTTTAAAACGTTTATCAGGATGCAACTGATAATATACCCTTTTCTAACGTTTATCAGAATGTGCTAAACCCTTTTATCTACCCCTAAAAATAGTGCAAAAAAACGGTTCATCAACCTAAAATACCCGTTATAAAAAGGTTTATTAAAACGTTTATAGGATTCAAAAATGGTCAAAGGGTATATTATCCGTTGCATTCTCTTAAACCCTTTCAAAGGGTAGATCAAATTTAAAAACCAATCGATTTCAATACAGATATCCGTTTATAAACGGGTATATGATAATAAAATACCCTTGCATTACCTTTCGTAAAGCTAATCGAAAGCGTTTATTAGCTTCATCAACTCGAAAGTGGTAGGTCAAAGGGTAGTTCAGAAGGTTGGTCAGTTCCATCAACTATAGAAAGGTAGATCAATGGATACTTTAGAAGATTGATTAGTTCCATGAACTATAAAGAGATTGATCAAAGGGTAGTTCAGAAGGTTGATCAATCTCATCAACTTCACTGTAGAGAAACCAGAGGATAATAAACCCGTAAAGAGTTCGTAAAATGGTATTTAGAAGGGTTCGCAAACACTCGCAACGGCATCAAGAGTTTCCCAAAAGCAAGAGAAACGCTTCGGAAACGACTGCTAACAATGACAAGTGCTAGGGGTGCTGGTTTAGCATCCGCATTGTATTAAAGTAATGCTAACAATAATACTTTTTTGTTGGGATCCTAAGACAAAAATATTGCAATTTGTATTGATTAATATGATACTAAAATGAAGCCAGTATCTCTGACTAAGTTCAATGCGTTTTGTGTTACAATTTCAATACAAAAGCATTTTAGCTGCTACTAAGTTAATACAATATTGAAGTAATTTAATAGGAGCTATAATGCTTTTGTATTGAAATTGTAACACAAAACGCATCGAACTTAGTCAGAGATACTGGCTTCATTTTAGTATTATATTAATCAATACAAATTGCAATACTTTTGTCTTAGGAACCCAACAAAAAAGTATTATTGTTAGTATTACTTTAATACAATGCGGATGCTAAACCAGCACCCCTAGCACTTGTCATTGTTAGTAGTCCTTTCCGAAGCGTTTCTCTTGCTTTTTGGAAACTCTTGATGCCGTTGCGAGTGTTTGCGAACCCTTCTAAATACCATTTCACGAACCCTTTTTTGTCTTTGAGGATAATAACAAAAAAGTATTGTTCTTAGGATTACTATGATACAACGCTGATGCTGAACCAGCATCCCTCACAAACGCTTATAAACGGCTACTGACGGCACACATGAATATAACTAAAACACTAATTACCGATGAAGGCCAGACAGAATGTTTTACACCTTCAGAGAAAATAAGAGAGAACTACTAACAGACGCATATGGCTCAAGAATCACTGCAAGACAAAGAAAACCTGACGAGCTTTGAAATCTTTTTTCCGAACAGTACTAGGAAAAAGACGATGTGAAATCAGAATCCGATTCAATGCTTTCATTGGTATCTATTCATGACATGACGTGACAATGGCTACACTCGAAAATAAACAAAAATAATCGAAATTTTAACCAGCTATTTCATTTCTTTGCCCTATTTGAAGCTGCCGAACTAATTGGACCCAAAGACGAAGAAGAAAAACACTTAACCCAAAAAATCTCATACTATTTCTCACAACACATACTAAACAAAAATCAGAATATTTAAGAGGAAAAAGAAAAAAGCATTATATGAAAATATCCCATACTATTTCTCACAATAGATATTTAATCAAGATTAGATATCACAAAATGGAGAAGGAAAAAGCCATAAGCTGATTGTTTTTTAGACTACATGTTTGGGAAGAGGTGAAGTGACTACTACACAACGCCTCAAATCCAAAAAACGAAAAACAAATAAACTGACCTGTTTCATTGTGTTGTTTTTCATGCTATACTCCATTATTCTTTTAATGTCACACTTTATTCGATGTTCCATTCAAATCGTTTTTGTGTCAAATCAACAGTTAACTTATGTTTCATGTGATTTTTTTTGCCACTAATCTATTGAGTGAATGGATTCATACGAGTGGAAGGTGGAGAAAAGAATATGTCTCAGTGTTTCCGCAAAATCCAAGTTTTGTGATGAAATGAATGATTATAGTAAATAGTGAATATATGTTTAAAGCAAAGAGATAGAGTATTCAGAAGAAGCAAAATGATTTAACCACAATATTTAATTCTCTTTCTCGTCAAAGATTTTTCATGTCGATTACACTATCTAACTGGGGAAGAAACAACAAAGACCTGAACAAAAGATTTAGCTCATTTTCTGACGAAAGATATTAAATAAAAATCATTATATCTATCTAAGGAAGAGGCAATGAGACTTAAACGAAAATATTTAATACTCTTCCTCGCGATAGATACTCAATTATGAGCAGAATGAGTTACTGAAGAAAAAGGGAAAAGACTTAACGAAAAATATGTCATTCCCTTTCTCACAGAAGATACTCAATCAAAATCAGAATATCTAACTCAAAAGAAGGAAAAAGACTTACATCAACATGTTTAGCTCTCTTTTTAGGGAAACATATTCAATAAAGATTAGAATATCTAACTCGCGAAGGAGGAAAAACATTTAAACGAAAATACTTGATTCTTTGTCTCACAACACACACTCAGTTATGATTAGAAGTAGGAACTAAAGAAGGAAAACGAATTAAGCGAAAATATTTTAACCTTTTTTTGTCACGAAAGATACTGAATTATGGTCGAAATGTCTATCTCAAAAGAAGGAAAAAGACTTAAATCAACATGTTTGATTCTCTTTCTCACACAAAATATTGGATGAATATCAGATTCACGAACTCAAAAGAAAAAAAATACTTAAAGGACAATATCGATGCTTTTAATCATGAAAGATATTCGATAAAGATCAGAATATCTAACTGAGTAAGAGGAAGGAAAATTTAAACGACGCAATATCTGTTTTTTTTCTCACAATGGATACTCAATTATGATCAGAATAAAATCCTGAAGAAGAGGGGAAAAGACTTGAAAGAAAATATTTTATTTTTTTTGTCACGAGAGCTACTTTATTATAATCAGAATAACTGACAGAAGAAAAAGCAGAAAGGATTAAACGATCAAATTTCGTTCTCTTTCTCACAACACAATCAATAAAAATCAGAATATGAAACTGAGAATGAAGGAAAAAGAGGGTAATGAAAATATTTCATATTATTCCTTACAGTAGAGACTCAAGTATGATCAGAATAGCTAACTGAAAAATGCGGAAAAAGAAGGAAAGGAAAATATGCAACTCTTCTTCTGAGAACAGACAGTCAATGAAGAGCAGAAAATGAAACTGAGAAAAAAGGAAAAGGAGTGAAACGAAAATATTCAATTTTTCTTCAGACAATAGACATTCAACTATGATCAGAATAAATTACTGGATAAAAACAAAAAAGAGTTAATGAACATGTTTTCTATGCTTA